AGGAGCCGGCGGATGGCGGCGGCGGGGCCGGTGAGGGGATGGAGGGCGGCGAGCCGGGCGGCGGCGGGGGGCTCCTGCAGCAGATCCTCAGCCTCCGCCTGGTGCCCCGCGTGGGCAACGGCACCACCACCTACTCCAGCCCCCTCTCCACCTTCCCAGGTACCCTCCCCGCTGCCGGGCCTGCTCGGAGCGGGGCCCTCCCGCCGTCTCGGGAGGCCTGCGGGCCCCGAGCCCGCCTCACGGCCCTTCTCTCCACAGAGATGTGGTATGGCGTCTTCCTGTGGGCCCTCGTCTCCTCCCTCTCCTTCCACGTCCCGGCAGCTTTGTTAGCGCTCTTCACGCTCAGGCATCACAAGTACGGCAGGTTCATGTCCGTGAGCCTCCTGCTGATGGGCATCGTGGGACCCATTACCGCCGGCATCCTAACAAGTACGGTAGATGCTCGAAGATACCGACCGGGTGGCTCTGTAGTGATCAGAGGTCGCCTTTCGGGAGCGCGTTGAACCGCGGCATTCCCCGGGGCGGAGAGGAGATTAATGTTTTGGCTATATTCCCCCCTTGCCCTGTGTTTGAAAGAGTTGGACCATCCCACCTGTCGAGCCCTTTGTCGGGGGTACCAAACGCGCCCGCCAGGCGCAGAGCCAGGTGGGCTGTCGGGTTTCTGAGCACTCGGAGAAAAACCGCTTCCAGGTTTGGTGTCCGTACCCAGAACTGGGTAACATTTGCAGCCTGTGGGCTGCGGTGTTGAGGATCTTGTGACAGGAGTACGTCCGAAACCGCCCCAACCTCCACACCTTCTGGAGGCCTCGGCGGAGTTTCACCACCCAGTTTAGCCGTTGCCACCAGCACGCGTTGGTTACTGGCCGAGGTTTGTCACGGTAAACCCAGCCCGCCGTTTCTGTCAGTCAGTGTGCAGGGGCTCAGGGCCCCCTCCCGCAGACCCCTCTGTTCTCTGCCCCTCTGAGACCTCCCCCTTCGTCCCTGTGGTACAACAGGGTAGATCTCACGGTGGCTGTCACGCGTTCACGTTTCGGCTTTCTCCCCTCTCCGCAGGTGCTGCCATTGCTGGAGTTTACAGAGCTGCGGGGAAAAAAATGATTCCCTTTGAAGCCCTCATTTTAGGAGTGGGCCAGACGTTCTGCGTGGTGGTGGTTTCGTTTCTACGCATTTTAGCCACTCTCTAGCCCTTCTTCAGACGCTAGGGATCACAAATCGAAGGAGGAGCAAAGGATCTGCCGCCTGCGCCGCCTCTGAAACAAACCATGAGGGAGCGCAACTCGAGGCGTGCCTCGGCGTGTGCTTTCTCCGCTGGTTAAAGGGTACATGAAGGCCTGCTCCTGCCTCCAGAGTGGCTTGAAATTAAGCTAAAAATTGTGAATTTTGTTACTTTTTGGTAACATTAAGTGCCAAGTGAAACTTTATTTCTCTGGAGGATAGGAAAAGGGCTTCTGGAGGAGGAGGCCCACGTACCTTTTACCAGCGATGGAATGTAGCAACAGGATGTAACTAAGATGTGACACGGGCTGTTCTGGGGTAGAAACAGTACTACAGAGCGATGTGATGTCTTCGGAGCTCGCTTAATGCTTTGACCTCTGGCTGCTTCGTTTGCAGTGAACCTGAAGCTCTTTTAATGTGAATTTTTTAAACGAGAAACTTAATTTGTTTTCTTCCTGGCCCCAACTTTCTAATACCAGGTCTTGGTCATAGTGAATTTGGGAGCAGCAAAAGGAAAAATCATTTTAGACGGATGAAAGTGCAAATTTGTGGCCGAGGGCTGTGACTATGAATGCCGCAGCAGGGGAAATAACCGGCGTAAAAAAGGATCGCTGTTTTTGTGAATTTTATTACGGTGAAGCTCTTCAGGCACTGTGTACCTTCTGCCCGAGAGGCGAAGCTCAGCTGAACGGGCGCCACGCCCTGCTGCCCACGCTAGAAATCCCAGGGTGCGTGTGTGAGCGCGCACTGTTGCTTCTCAGGCTCTGAAGGAGACTCGTATTTTTAAACTTCTCCGTTCTCCTTTTACTTGCTGAACATGTTTACATTGGTGTGGTGGAATCGGGTGTCTTCACTGATATGTAAACATCGCTGGCCAGCTTGTATAAAATTCGGCACGCTGCTGCGTCGGTGACCATGCTGATAAGAACCGCACGGCCGGCGCTGGGTTGTCGCCACTTGGGGCTTCCCAGGTGCGGAGGTGGGGAGCGCGCCGTGTTTTCGGCACCCAGCCTGCAGCCTGCCGGTGGGTGAGATGCCTGCGAGGGTCCCGGGAAGAGCCTGGGTGACTCCCATGTCCATCAGGGACAAGCCGTGTGAACATTAGCCCCGAACCAACCCCTTGCCGGCAGGCGGTATGGTCTCCTCTAATGAATTGTTTTAGTTTGTTTTAAGTGACTTAACTAACTCTTAGGTCCGCCCTCTTGCCTGGGGGCGTGCCACGCGGCCGGGGCTCTCGGGTAGCTAGCCGGGCGCTTTCTGGGGGCTTGGTTTTTTGGGGCCCTTGGGGAAAGCCGAGGTTGAATCCCAAGGATGGGGCTGGGCGGGGTAGCCAGCCCCGTGGCTTTGCTGTGGTCCTTGTTTCTTTATTACCAGCTGACGGTCGTGTGGGCTGCCGAGGGAAGGCGGCGCCTGCGTCCAGCCCTCCCAGGACACGCGTCCCATCTGTGTTTTTGCTGAACCCCTTTGGTTTCCAAACCGGCTCGCCTTTAGTACCTGCAACATTTCGTAAGGCCAGTTATCTTCCGTGAACCCCGTGCCCTCTGCGCTGAAACAGCCCTCAACAGGGCCATGCGTTAATCGTGAAAAAGAATTTCTCTCTGTGTACTAACTTCTCTAGAGTGGCCTGTTGACAGCTGATGGAGAGAGGTGTTTTTCAGGAGCTACTCGCTGATATTACTCTAAATTTTAGCCCATGTTAATTCAGGGAATAAAGCTGGGCATTTTAGGAAAGACTTCAATGTGAATCCTTCTCCTTAGGTGGGTGAGGTCCAAGCGGTATAACGTATACTAAACCCTGGATCTTCGGAGCGCCCCATGCGCTGTGCTGCTTGTAGAGAGCTGGTCTTCCTACCGCCGCCTCCCCCAGGGGAAGGCTGGGGCCTCTCCTTCCCTCTTCGCTTCTGCCCCCAGCGAAAAAGCAGGAATAATGATCTCTCTAGCTGTCTTTCCCGTTTCTTATTTCAAATGGCTGCATAGGCAGCGCCTGTCCGGAGTGCCTGGTTTAATTCGCGTGAATTATCCTGCGCTTTCCTGGATGGATTAAAAGTCTCTCATGGGACTTAGTCCGGGCAGGTCTGGCCTTACCTTTCAGGTGACGCTAGAAGCCAGCGTCCTGGGCACCCTCTGTGCTCCCCTTTCCCCCTGTCCTGGTGCCTGGCATCCCTCAGGAGCAAGGACTGAGCTGATGGCAACTGGGAAAGCACTTTATCAGTATGCCACGTGCTATGGCATGAGGATGGTTCCTCTGCAGTAATGGGGCTGAGGCACGCAGGGGACAAATCCGGGCTGTTGTTGGGAGTGTTAGAATCTAAAAAAAAAAAAAAAAAAAAAAAAAAAAAAAGGCTTGATAAAATCACTTGGTGCTGGGCAAACTGAAAAACCTCCTGGTTTCTACCCATTGTGGTCTCCCAAAGTCTGCTTTGGGGGGGGGGAGGGGGGGTGTCCTGCTTCACTTGAAGGGTTGGCAGCTCGGCCACCGTTTGGAAGGTGAGCGGTTGGAGCTGGTGGTGCACAGGCACCGTGAAATTTTCAGGGAATTCTTGCGTAAAAGGTGAACAATCAGCTGCTGACTTGTCTTGACAGGTATTAGCGCTGGGGCAGAGTTCTTTGTGTCGCCTCGGTACTCGCAGAGC